AGCTATTGGATTATAGATCAGATTTCATTGTAGTTGTAGCCCTTACTCTAGAGGGTGTACTTAGTAGGAATTAACCTCCCAAACACATGGATGCAATATTCTTATTTTTGTTTTGTTTTGTTTTTATTGATTTCTGTACTTTATAATTCCTTTATTGGCAGCTTTGTTAAGGAAGGAAGCTCACTTTAATAAAATTATTATGTTTAGATGCTCATTATTAGAAGGTATTGCCAAGTGCTTTTTTTTTTTTTTAATGGTGAAAAAACATATATTTAGAATTAGCCAGCTGGACTCCGTTCAGATGATCCCAATTTTGTTGGCAACGTCCAGAGCATCATAGTCAGGAGCCAGCCGCACATACGCCTTCTTCTCTCCGTCAGGGCTGATCAGGGTGTTGACTTTGGCCACATCAGTGTCATAGAGTTTCTTCACAGCTTGTTTGATCTGGTGCTTGTTGGCCTTGACATCCACAATGAACACCAGTGTGTTGTTGTCTTCTATCTTCTTCATGGCCGACTCCGTGGTCAGGGGGAACTTGATGATGGCATAGTGGTCAAGCTTGTTTCTCCTGGGGGCGCTCTTCCGAGGGTATTTGGGCTGCTGTCGGAGGTGTAGTGTCTTGGGCCGCCGGAAGGTGGGGGACGTGCGGATCTTCTTCTTGTGGCTGTGGACGCCTTTCAGCACTGCCTTCTTGGCCTTCAAGGCCTTCGCTTTGGCTTCGACTTTAGGAGGGGCAGGAGCTTCCTTCTTCGCCTTCAGCACCATCTTGGTGAAAAGGCCAAATGCTATTTTAAAGCTTAGTTATTGTGCCTCCGCCTGCGGTGCCAGCACACTGGGTTCTAGTCCCGGTCGGGGGGCCGGATTCTGTCCCCGTTGCCCCTCTTCCAAGGCCAGCTCTCTGTTGTGGCCCGGGAGTGCAGTGGAGGATGGCCCAAGTCCTTGGGCCCTGCACCCCATGGGAGACCAGGATAAGCACCTGGCTCCTGCCTTCGGATCAGCGTGATGCGCTGGCCGCGGCGGCCATTGGAGGGTGAACCAACGGCAAAGGAAGACCTTTTTCTCTGTCTCTCTCTCTCTCACTGTCCACTCTGCCTGTCAAAAAAACAAACAAACAAACAAACAAACAAAAAACACTTAGTTATTAAAGTTCAGGGGATTTGTTACTGCTGTTCTTCAGTGTACCTCCCCATATGAAATCTGTAGTTGCTTTAATAGTCTTTATCTTTGTCATTATCAAGAATTCCTACTTTGCTTTTAAAGTAGATTGCAGCTAGGTATGTTTGTATCCCAAAATCTTATTGTAAAGATGTATGTGGCCCATGTTGTGGCACAGTTGTTTAAGCTGATGTCTGTGATGCTCGTATCCCATGTAAGCATGGCTTTAAGTCCCAGCTACTCCACTTCCAATCCATCTCCCTGCTAATGCTGCTGGGAAAGCAGTGGAAGATGGTCAGTATTTGGGCCCCTGCTACCCATGTGGAAGACCTGGGTGGAGTTCCAGGCTCCTGGCGTTGGCCTGGCCCAACCCCAACTATTATAGCCATTTGGGGAGTAAACCAGCAGGTGGAAGATATCTCCCTCTCTCTCTCTCTCTCCTCTCTCTGTCTTCTCTCTCTCTTCTCTCTCTCTCTAACTCTGCCTTTCAGAAAGGCAAAATGGCTATAACAGCTGAGACTGTGTCATACTCAACCCTGGAGCCAGGAACTCTATCCATTCTCTCACATAGGTGGCAGAGAGCTAAGTGCGTGGGCCATCTTCCATTGCCTTCCCAAGCACATTAGCAGAAAGCTAGATCAGAAGCAGAGCAGTTGGGATTTGAATCAGCACTCAGATATGGATTATCAGCATTGCAAACAGTGAGCTAACCCGCTGAACCTCAGAGCCGGCCTCTTATTGTAACATTTGCTGTTACAGTGTGGCCTATCCTTCTTGTTTTGATATGGAGCTGAGGTGTTTAGAAACTGATCATAATAAGGTGTTAATCTTCTGCCTTCTGGTCAGCTTACAAAAATCCAGATGCTTAGGTTGCACTCTACCAGTTAGATCAGAATGTCTGGAGGTGGCCCCAGGTATCAGTATTTTTTGGGAAAGATCCCCAATTGATTTCAATATGCAGCAAAGTTTAGAAATCACTGGCTTTATATTAGCCATACAGCTTAGAATTTCTTCCTTCCAGTTACCTACTTATTCCTTAGAATTAATTAGATGACCTTGTATTAATGCATTTTAGCTACTTGAGAAAAAGATGTTACATAAATATATTAGTGTTATTATTACTATTATTATTTAAACTGTACATAAGTCAGTTCTTTTTTGGTAAAACATATAACATGAAATTTACCATTTTAACCATTTTTAACTACACACTTCAGGATTGTTAAGTATATTCACATTTGTGCAACTATCACCACTATCCAAAAACGAAATTTTATCATCTTCCCAAACTGAAACTCCATGCACATCAAATAACGCCTCTCCTCTGACTGTGCAGCCACCATTCCACTTTTTGTGAACTGGACTCCTTAGGTATCCCCAGATAAGTGGAATCATATAATATTTTTACTTTTGTGACTACATCTTAAAGGTTTATAGTATCTTCAAGGCTCATTTATGTTGTAGTGTGTATCAAAATAAAAACTTCCTTTTTAAGGCCAATTGATATTCCAGTGTAGGTAAATATACCACATTTTGTGCATTCGTTTGTCGATAAGCACTTGTGTTGCTTCCACCTTTTGGCACTGTGAAAGATGCTGCCATGATCACAGGTGTACAGGCAGCCAATGTTCACTGATAAGCTGGTAGTCCCTTTTCCCTATGCAAGATGCATATCTGGATGAATTATTTGTTCTTTATGTATTACATAGATTTTACTTTAATGAGAGCACCTGCCTCTAGTGACTAGTTTACCTTTTACAAAATATGACAAAAATTAGATACTGTTCTGATGCTTTGTAGATTTTCTCAAAGATGATAATAGTATTCCTTTTTATTTGAAACAGCTATTCTGCCAAGGCTGTGGATTGGTCTTGCCTACAGCTGTGTTCCCGAAACATAGCAACAAAAGCTTCTGTATGTCTAGAATAAAGGGATAAACCTTAAAAAGTAGAGAGAAGAGGGCTGGTATTGTGGTACAACAGGTTAGAAGCCGCTGCTTGTGATACCAGCATCCCATATTGGAGTGCTGGTTTGCATCCCAGCTTCTCTGCTTCTGATCCAGTTTCCTGCTGATACAACTGGGAAGGCGCAGAGGATGGCCCAAGTGCTTGGGCCACTTCCATTCATGTGGGAGACGTGGATGAAGTTCCTGGCTCCTGGCTTCAGCCTGGCCCAGAACTGACTATTGTGGACATTTAGGGAATGAACTAGAGGATGAATGATTTCTCTTTTGTACTCTTTTTCTGTGTATGTGTGTGTTTGTGTCATTTTGCCTTTCAAATAAATACATCTTTAAAAAGAATGAGAGAGGGGACTTGCATTGTGGCATAGTGGGTAGAGCCATCTCGTGACGCCTGTATTCTATATGAACAATGATTTGAGTCCCGGCTGCTCCACTTCCAATCCAGCTTCCTGCTAATATGTGTGGGAAAGCAGTGGAAGATGGCCCAGGTGCTTGGCCCTTGCACCCACTTGGGAGACCTGGAAGAAACTCCTGGTTTCAGATCATCCCGGCTCCCGCAGTTGCAGGCATTTGGGGAATGAACCAGCAGTTGGAAGATCTCTTTGTGTGTGTCTCCTTTTCTCTCTCTCTCTCTGTAACTCTGCCTTTCAAATAAACAAATCTGGAGAGAGGAGAGAGAGAGCGAGCAGACAGGCAGGCTGGTAGGCAGGCAAGCAAGCAGGAAGGACAGAAGGAATAAAGGGAAAGGAGGAAAGGAGGGCTCATGCTGCATACGTTAGGTTAACTTCAAAATGCCAGGGCAAAAGTGTGAGCTTCAAAGCCAAACTAAAAAGGCGCTCTGGTCATATTCTAGAAGTTGCAAACTAATTAGATGAACTCTAAGCCATATAGGATCCTTTCTTGCTGCTTGTGTTCCTCGTGTAAGCCTGTTAACTGTGCTTCTATCCATGATCTTAGCTCTTTTGTATTACAGAACCTGGTATGTGAGTTCATGTTCGACTTCTTTCCCTTGTTGATGAAGCACTCTGAATCTTGAGCAGATTCCTTCTTTTAAAAGACGGCTCAGCTGGGTATTTTCACAAGAGATCTGCTGTATTAGTAAGTGGGAATTGTTTGGAGGCAGACAACTTGAAGAACAGTAGTGATTACTTATTTTAGCATTGCTTTTCTTAAGACATTACCTTTTCATATTCCTACCACCCACCCATCTATGCTTATAGCATGGAGGAAAGGAATTTTCTTTCATGTGTATATATTTCACTTTGATCTCTTTGACACTTTTCCTTACTTTTTCATTTATAATAAAAGGTAATTGGGGCTGGTACTGTGGCTAAGTAAGTTAAAGCCGGGACCTACAGTGCTGGGATTCCATATGGGCTCAGGTTCACTTCTGATCCAGCTTCGTGCCTGGGAAGGCAGCAGAGGATGGCCCAAGCACTTAGACCCCTGGCACCCACGTAGAAGACCTGGAAGAAGCTCCTGGTTTCAGCTTGGCCCAGCCTTAGCTGTTGTGGCTATTTGGGGAGTGAACCAGTGGATACAAGATCTCTCACTCTCTCTTTTTCTCTTTCTAACTCTGCCTTTCAAATAAATAAATAATTTTTTAAAAGGTAATTAAAATGGAAAGGAGCTTGGCTATACTGCTGCAAAGGAGAATGCTGAACTTTGTTGATCTCTTTGGGTTAACAACAGTGCTGCATCAGTGTGCTTTAGAAATATCATAGAAATGCCTTGAAATTGAGAATCTGATAGAACAATATAATTTTAGAGTGAATTCTGCAGGTGTGACATAGACAACTTACTCTTCCCACCTGGAGACTTAGAACTCTACGGTCTGAGAGGCTAAGTGTGAGTAAACAATCCTTTTTTTTTTTTTTTTTAGATCTTCATCTGCTGGTGGACGTGGCCTGCAAGCAGGAGCACTTTCCAAAGGAAGAAGAATTAAAAGAGTGAGGAATGGGTGACGAATGTGACATTGTGCACAAGCTATAGCTGGAGGCAGACTAGCCTAGCACATGACACACTGTTGGGATTTTTTTCAGTTGTTAAGGAAAAGAAAGTATTTTTTTGTTTTGTTTTGTTAATTGAGAGTTTTGTTCATTGAGAATTGGGAATTTGGTATTTACTACAGCTGTTCAGTTCAGATAATTTACCTTGACAAACTACTAAACATCTTGCAGCCATGTTTTTTTGCTGCCCAGATCCCTTCCAAATGAAAAGTCCTGGCCTTCTGTTATGGTCAAGAAGCGTTTGAAAACTGCTGCATCTACGGTACTGGAGAGCAATGTGTGTGTGTGCTGACTTGTGTTGCCACTCAAACTGCAGTCAGCACAGCTCCCGGGGAGTTCAGTCTCTGCTTCAAGTCACAGTGGGATCCTTTCAGAGAGGACTGTGTGAGAAACAAAGACACGTGGGGTCACCAAGATCACAGTTCTAAATGGCTCAGAAACTCTAGGGAAGAAACTCTGGGAAAGAGCTAATTTTCTGACTGATTAACCAGGAAATTCTCTTATTTCCTAACCCAGCATTCTGTTTCAAGAGCAAGGCGCCCGGATTTGAACCATCCATCACACTTAACAGCTCTCGATTCTTTTATATTAATGGGAGCATTCTTCTATTTTCATATCTTTCTTTAATTTTGTTGAAACATTGTCGTAAATGGTAAAGTTTGTTAATATGTCACATACTTAAATGTAAAGAAAAATATTTAACTTGTTTAATATAGCTGTATTTATAAATGCTGGTATTGTTAATGGTTCTAAAACTTTATATTTTTATTAATATTACAGGATAGAAGGATTAAGATACATATTTAATATTTTTATTTTGAAGGGCAAATGTACAGTGTGTAAACAAAAACATTAAGAGATTTAACAGCGTTTTCTTATTTTGGATTTTTACACTCAGTATAAAATCCTCTCCTACATAAGGTTTTGTGTGCAGATTTGGGGGAAAACTGATTAGCAGTCATTTGGCAGAAGCTATGTCTCTAATTTTTTTTAATAGTTTGTAGTTAGTTTAAGCTTCTGAGAGCATTTTAGATAGTGGGATAGACTGTAACATTTTTTTCTTCATCCTTTCGATAAGATTCTGAATTTGAGTAGTGAGATTGTGGGGCTGTTGTTTGGGAGAGGCGTGCATCTTGGATGTCCAGTTTCTGTGGTTGATTGCTACTTGCTCACCCAATGACAGCAAGAAATTTCTTAATTTAAAGTCTTTTCAATTGACTGTAACTTTCTTACTGGGTTCTGCCTCAGTTTTCCTAATAAGCACTGCAGAAACAAAAGGAAAGCTTAGGAATATGTAAGCAATGAAAAAGAAAAGGCACTTGGTGACATGACTTTATTGTGCCAGCTATTGTGGGTTAACGAGTTGTTTCTTAAATTGCATTGTGCCTTCCCAATGATGTCAAACCCTAAATGTGTTAACCAAAATCTATGTTTTCGTTTTGTTTTGTTTTTCTGTTTTTATTTTTTTTGTAAACAGGTGAATGCTGTGTTGGTCTGCAGTGACTCAGTTAAATAGGAATGTAGGTTCTGAAAATCGACCTGTCTGATCCGTCCAATTAGACCAGTTGATGTCCATGTGATGGGCATTTATTCGTCTTTATTAGCAAGGCTTAAAAGATGAACAGATTATCAAGATTTCTGTATCTTTTGTCTAGACTATATATTTTGGCAGTGTATGTGAAGAGGAGACCCAATTTCCTAATGAAGGAACTTTGCCTTTTCTCTGTCATGTTGAAGAGCTGATAAACTATATAGGTGATATTCTTTCCCTTCAATCTGCCTTTCTTGGCGTTATGAATGTTGAAATTGATGATATCTTTTGAGGAACATGTGTCAAGCAGGAACCTTGGCATAGATTTGGTTTCAGTGGTTTTAAGGCTTAACTAATGAAATGCCTTAATCAGCTTTCCAAACTTTTTTTTAATACATGAATACAGCAGACCAAGGAGCTGGATCTCCTGCTGTACTCACATGCCTGATACCTATCAATTAAAGCTGTCATCAATGACTTGGTCAAAATGGCAAAAGGTAAAATAAAATCCTCATGTGAATTAGTCAGTAGGGTCTGATATATACTAACAAGTTTCCTGACTAGCACCTCAGTATTCCAGCACCTTATGCACCGATAAATTTTAATCAGTCAACAATAAAGTGAGTGTTCCAACTAGACTTGTTGTCTTTTTTGTTTTTACTGTTTGATTTGTCTTCAAGAAAAAACTCAATCTTTATGAACTGTAATAATAGTAAAATTCAGAAGATAATGTACTTTACTTTTCGAAGAATCTGATTTTTTTTTTTAATTTATATGGTTTATTTGAAAGGCAGAGTTACAGAGAGAGAGAGAAGGGAAGAGTGTGAGAAAGATCTTCCATTCACTGATTTACTCCCCAGATGGCTACAGCGGCCAAAGCTGGGCTGATCGGAAGCCAGGAGCTTCTTCCAGATCTCCCACATGGATGCAGGGACCCAAGACTTGAGCCATCGTCTGCTGCTTTCCCAGGCACATTAGCAGGAAGTTGGATCAGAAGTGGAGCAACTGGGACTTGAACCGGCGTCCTTATGAGATACTAGCACTGCAAGCAGCAGCTTTACCTGCTATGCCACAGTGCTGGCCCCAGAGAATCTCATTTTTAAAAATTGTCCTGATTTTTTTTCATACCCACTTGAATAAAGCCATGTTACACAGAACTAGTTTTTTGGGAAAAGATTATCTTCAGTAAGTTAATCCAGATGTGAAAGTAGATCCTGAAGGGTGATCTGTCTCACGTGCAATATCAGGTAGTAGATATTGCATTACTGTAGTGATAGCATCTTTCTGACACCTCTGGAGAACTGTGATGATAAAGCAGCTTGAGGGATAATTCTAAAATTTTGAAGCTGGAGACCAATGTCTCTTGCTTGTCAATTCTAGTGAACTAAATAAGCAAAGCATATCAGTGAGCCAAAGCACACAGAGCTATTTGCCCTGGTCCTGCATGTCTCAAGATCATGATGCACTTTATCACTCCCAAATCTCAGAGTTTCCTCAAGAGAAGGTGGCCACATTTCTGTCCTCCTTCTTTCATCTAAGAATGTGTATGACTATTAGGTTTAGGTCTTTTAATTTCTTTGCAAGTTCCAAGTAGAAATGAATGAGAAAGAATCCATTTGAAGGCTACTTTTTGTTTAGTTTATCTTTAAAGCTATCTCTACATCAACAAGTGCTACATAAAAGTGTATTTTTCATTATTTGGTACAATGATACAACAGACATAAAATGAAAAACAGAAACCATATCAGATTTTTAAAAATTCTTTCTAGCAGAATTTGAGTTCTCCCTACCTTTTAGGGAAGGAGCTTCCAGAAGTCTATATTGCAATATGTTCTTAAGATCCAAACGAGAGAAAAGGTGCAAAGAATTTATCTAAGAATGTATCTAGGTCAGATATTAGCTCTAAAATTCTAAAACTATCTTCATAAGCCTATAGGAGAAAAATGTTCAAGATAAATGGATCACTCACACTTTTTGTTAAGGAATTCTATCAATTAATGTTTACAACTAACCTACAGTGCAGTTGTTATTAGCCACATTTTGTAGAAAATCAAGCAGAGGTTCATTTGTACATAAAATAAAAACAATTTTACCATCCTAACCATTTTTAAAGTTATGTTTCAATAGAGTTATCTGTATTCACAGTGTCATTCATTTGTTTAATTTTGAAAGATGTCCAGTAGTTCAAAAATAAAATATCTGACCACAAATATAATCTGATAGATTTGAAAAATTCAAGTATCAGAAACATTAGAAACTTTCACATTATTTCTAATAGCAAGTTTACTATAAAGATATAATGTAAATATTAGTCAAAAATTAATTTTCTTTTTGCCTCAACTTTTCTCATTAGGTGTATTGTACCCCATTGCTTGTATTTATGACATAGACTTAGTAACAATCTTATATTGAGAATATAGGGCTCAATCTTAGGAGGAATGTCATTTTACCTCCCAAAGAAGTGAGAAGAAAATAACAGATGGGTTCCAGACCTCCAGCAACAACCTGACCTGAAAACTCCGTGCAGGCACAGTTTACATAGAACCACTGAATTTCAGTCGGTGAGAGCTGAAGACAAGCTGTGAGTGGAGTGGGCTGAGCCCTTGCCGGGATAGCAGGCCCGAGCAGCAGTAGGTCAGTAAGTACTGCAGCAGGGAATCACTTCATTCTGGCTTGTTGCCATTATGGACACTGAAACTGGGAAACAGAAATACCTCTCGACTGATATTTGTAAAACCTTGTGTCTGTTCTTTAATCGTCTGGATTTCCTTTATTTTCTTTTTTTCCATTTATTTCCTCATACCTCCACCTGTCTTCTCTTGGGGTAGATCTGCTTAGGTGTGTTTGAGGGGCCCTGAGAAAGGTCTTGAGGATGATAGAGTTGAATGTAGTTTGGTTGTGGCTCAACAGAGGGAGCAGAGGAGCAGAGAGAGGAGCGAGGGAAAGAACGTGTCTGGTTAAGTAAGTGTTGTGGGCGCGCCCCCGGAGGAGGCGGGGCCGGCCGGGGGTGGCTGCCTCCAGCTGCTCCACCCTCACTTTGTCAGCAGGTAGAGAGCGTGATTGCAGTCCCAGGGGAGGGAGTCAGAGCTAGAACACCAATTACAAACCACAGGCTTCCTGCTCCAGGGAGTCGATCCAGAATTATCTCTCTGGAAGGGAAGCGCTGGAATCCTTCCGAACTTTCCAAGTCCACCCATGATTCAGGGACACTGCCTTCTCCCCCTGGGATTCTCTGTGTTTCTGGTGACTTGCTGCTGATGTGTTTGCTACTTTGTTTTTTCACTCTTTTCAAGATTTGATCATTCCATTTGCTGTTGTAAGAGAAAAAGGACTTTTGTTAGGAGATTTCAGAAATGAGTTTGGATCTTCTCTAAGTGTTTTTAGGATCCTTGGGAACAGTAGCTCTCATCCTGGAGTCAGTTTCTGCCTCTGACCTGCTTGGATTATTTTTTCAGGCTGCGGAATTTCTCGGCACCTACCTGTAGCGCTGGGCAGTTGGTGTGGTTGCAGAGTAAGAAGGTGGAAGAATGAGCTGTACCTGGTTAAGCAGTTGAATCCTTTTTTGAGCAGGATCTGTAAAAGCATAATTGAATTTGTTTCACCCCCGTGGATTCCAGTGGGCCGAGACAGCACAACAGGTTTGCAGATTTCTTTTGAAATTCTTTCTTCCCTCCTCCCTCTGCCTCAGCAAAAGAAAAGAATCTCTAAAGCAGGTTCATGTTCAACTGCTTAGCTTCCCAGCACTTATTCTGAAGACTTTATAATACTTTTAAACTTGACCTCAGAGTGCAGTGGGCTTTGTGGGTGAAGTGCATTTATATTTACTTATGGGTGAACATTTAAAAATCTCACTCTGTATTTGTACAAAGACCTGAATTTGTGTATGTGCCTGAAAATCACACTGATCTACTCTCCTTGGGCTTATTAGTATTTTTTGAAGGTGTTCTATCTACTTGGAGCCTGTGACTAATCACCTCCCTACTGTCCCTATCTTTTATTCCCTATTCCCTCAAGGAATTTGAAAACATGTTAGGAATAGTCCTTTGTTTTTCTTATGAACCTAGAAAATTACAGATTATGAGATCTGGATATTAAAGTAGTTGCCAAAGGCATCTCAGGGGAAATCAGAGTGCTTGGCATTCTCAAACTGGAGAATAAAATCTGGGATCCCTAAGTGAAAAAAGAAAATGGAGATAGAAATATAAATTTTAACTGGGAAAAATAATTGGAAAGCTAACCTTTTCACATCTTTTAATTATGGTAGCTGGAAAAGATTGTGATGCTCAAAATTATCCTGTAATATGTGAAGATAAGTAAATTAGTACCTAATTTATAGACAGCTTTTGGTAAAACAAAATAATTGAAGTCTGTCCAGCTATATAAATTAATAGGCCTAGAGTTTTGACTACACCTGAAATACAGTTTAATGTGGAAATTTTTCTGGATATATGTTGTATCCTCATTGGACATCTTTCAAGGTGTGGCCTGAAATTTTATTATTATTCCCTTTCTTCCATTTAAAAAAAAAATCTTGTGGTCTTCAGTCATTTACCACTGACAACTTTCGTGGCTTAAAAAGGACCATCTCTTCACGTTCTGAGCTCCAGCTCTTCACTCTCACCTTGGATGCACGGCTTTAGCTGTTTGCTTTGCCTTGTTTTGTTCATGAACACTGGGTTCAGTGCCTCAGCGACCTGATGCATATGGAAGACCAACACAAATGATCTGACATAACCAAGCTTCCCGATGTGACATTCAATCTCGAGCAGAGTTGAAATTCTAAAGAGAAGTGGTGATACCTTTCCCAGTCAGAGTGAAGATGGGAGAGAATGACATACCTGCCGCAGAAGTGGGCTGAAAACACCCTCTTCTCTGCCCAATCAGAAATGCCACCTGCTCTTGGGAATACACTTTAGAGGAAGGAAGGGCTAAAACTACAACCTGGTTTTCTGAAACTGAAGCGTAAATTTCTTTTCTTCCATTTATCCGGATACGAGAACCTGCATTTGGTATTAGCTAAAGGAAGCAGTATGTATGACCGAAGTGCATTGCGGCAGCTGGTAGCATGAGTGGTGGCCACCAACTGCAGCTGGTTGCCCTCTGGCCCTGGCTGCTGATGGCTACCCTCCAGGCAGGCTTTGGACGTACAGGACTGGTACTGGCAGCAGCGGTGGAGTCTGAGAGATCAGCAGAGCAGAAAGCTATTATCAGAGTGATCCCCTTGAAAATGGACCCTACAGGAAAACTGAATCTCACTTTGGAAGGTGTGTTTGCTGGTGTTGCTGAAATAACTCCAGCAGAAGGAAAATTGATGCAGGTTAGTATAACTTTCTTATATTTTACTTTCCATCTGTTTGAAATATTCCTTTCAAAGTGTATCTCTCAAATCAAGAACCATGTAAGAGCTGCTGCTGTTTACCTTTGTATTTGTTCCATCTATGAAGGATATTGCCTTATTGACATTCTAGAGCAAACTTTTATATTCCAGAAGAACTAAGTCTTAGAAAAATCATTTGCGTGTTTTTAAGTGGGTTGCATAGCCTTTTTAGATATGTATAATAAAACCTTTTTTTGTTTGCCAGAAATATACTGATCATTAGTTTTTAAAGTATAGATGAAGTGTATGAGCTTGTATTTAATGGACCCAAGGACTGTACTTTGCATTCTGTTTAAATTTGAAGTGAGCACTGAGAAGGCTGATTTAATGGTCAGCAGCACCCTGAAATTCTAGGATGCCCTTGAGCATAATTGATTACTGTGTCACTTTTAAAATTCAGTCAAGCTTGAATGCTGTGGCTGGCCTTACACCATGTGTGGCACCCTATTGCTAAGCCCAAAATGGAGAGAACTGAATTACAAAATGGACACAAGGTGTAAACCTGCCTCCTGATCACTCTTTGTCTTGTCCACACAGAATTTTATCATTTTCAAAAATGTATGTTTTAAATCTGTTTTTCTTACTGCCCCATAAAATTTTTTAGACATAGTTTCTTAAGTGTGCAGGCTATGGATTTTGCCTGTTCCTAGTCTGTTCTTTATGTGTTGAATTTATGAACTGACTAGGACCATCACATTTCATAGACCAATTACTCATTCCCCGTGGTGAGGACAGAGCCTACAGGGCTCTGCCTTTTTAATGAGAATTCTGTCTTACTCCATAAAATGATGTTGCTCATTGATTAAAATTCATTTTATAAAAGGATACTTCTTGCTGTACCTCTTTGGTTAAAATATTACTAAAAGTGATCAATCTCAAAGTCTAAACTCAGGTTTTTATTTTGTGATATGAATGAACTAAGAAAAGAATTAAAATACTACGTGAATTTAAATTTTTGTCTATGTAGAAAAGAAGGTAGGAAAATAAAACAAATTTCAGAACTCTTTTCCAAACAAGGATTTTTAAAATTCAAGGAGGTTCTTCATTATACTTCTCAAACAATATTTTGAAGCTGGGATAAATGAAGTTGAAGAAGAATTGGGTGAAATGGAAGGTTGCGCTTTAAAAATAAGAAAGAAGAGTATATCTGAGGAAATTGTATGAGGTTTTTTGGATAAGAGTTTAACATTTAATTTGGACTGTAGGGCAGAATTAGGAATACTTAAACGTGGAAATCACAAACCATTTCGAATATAGCAATTAGAAAGAAAACTTCCTTCCTGCCTTGTTCTTCCTCATACCCTGAAGCTTGAGGTCTGCATTCCATTTTAATTTTTGTCTTGAGTGATTTTACTGTAGAGCCATCTTTAGATGTCTCTGAGGTCTTTGGGCTCCATCCTAAGCTTTGTGTCTTACTAGTGTCCTGAGTTTGCATGTTCAATGGGTTAATTTCGTGCTACATAAAATAGTTTCCTCTTTTATTTTAAATCCGTCTTCTGCTACCATAAAGCTGTAGGTGGAGTTTCTGTGTTTTCATACAGGAACAGGTAAACAAGAAGCGCAGTTGGCGTTCTCTTTGTCATTCACTGTTTTACCAGTCTCTGTCCTGTGTTCTCTTATTCTGCCCTTTCTCTCACTCTGGCAGATCTTTCTGTTCTTGTGTTTTTCTTTTTAACTATTGACTTTGAGCCATCAGTTTACTTTAAATATTGTTCTTCATTTTGTGAAGAGGAAACTTCATTGTATCTTATCAAGGACGTCCAGGCTCTAATTGGGTAGTTTATGTCACCGGCAATTCTCATTCACCTTTTCTGTCCATGTGTGCTTTTTCTATGTTATTAATAAATGTTTACAATAGCCTAGTATTAATCTCTGGATATTTTCAGTATTGGTCCTGGTTCTGTTTTTAACCACAGCAGTCACTCTATTTTCTTGGTAGCCTCTTAGGAGAAATTTTATTTTTAAAAACCAGAAAATAACCTTTTGAATTATATGTGTCAGTTTTTCTTTATCCGTTATTTGATTAACTCTTCCAAAGAGTTCTAATGTTTTATGGACACATGGTTTACTCTTCTGGAATCCATGCTGTTTGTTCCTTATCAGATTGCACTACAACTCAGATTTATCTAAATGTGGTCAATAAGCCTTCCGTTTGACTGAAATTCTCTTTATGTCTCCTAGAATTGTGTTTTGTAGCACTTTAGTTTATTGGTGGATCGCTGTACCCTGGTGTCAAAAATCTAAAGGCATTCTTTATTGGCTTTGATGAATTTTGCATAATTTTATGTATGTCTCAACCCCTGAGTTATTTTCGCTTCCTGCTAAGATTGGTTACCCTATGGTCAAGTCTGTAAAACTGGGGATGCTATGCAATGGAAAATGTAAAGTTGTGAGAACACTAAGTTAAAAAAACAAAAAAACAAAAAACAAAAAAACAACCTTAATGCGGTTTCTGGAGTTCCCAGAGAGTTTCTGAAAATCAGACATGTCTACATTTTGCTCAATTCATTCAGGTTATGTGTGATTTCATAAGGACCAAATCAACTGGATTTTTATTTGTATTTCAATTTTAATTTGCTAAAGGGAAGATAGCTTTTAAAAATGATCTTAACAATAAAATAGGCCATAGATTTGCTTCTAAAATAACTTCACTTGTTTCTACTTCATTTGATGGCTGTGTATCCAAGGGCATTGCAAGCTAAGCCTTAGTCCTCATTCTTACCCCTCACCTTTGTGCTTAGGTTTGTCTTTGGTAGTAGTATCATACATTGTATAAGGTATATCCAAAGTTTTAAATTGTAATATTCTAAAAGTACTAGAAAAAAGTCAGGATAGAAGAAGAAATTTGGCTTTTGCAAGAACATTCCCTTCTATTTCTCAGGTCCTCTATTTTCCATTTCAAAACTTCCTATCTTAGTCCTGACCGATTAATTACACTGCTTTCCTTTCTGTTTTGCCTGAGTGTTGTCTCTCTGGGTGACCATGGCATTTCAAATCCTGAAGGAAGTTTGCCACTCTCTTTAAAGTCTAATTCTTAGGTTTCCCTACTTTTGCCAAAGTCTTTCTCTTCCTCTTTAATTTCCTTCTACTTTTTTTTTCTTTATTTTTCATTCTATTTGTGTATTTAGAGTAACCATCTGCTGCTATTTTGATCAATACTTCTCTAGTTACATTTTTCCGATCAGTATTTCTCTAGCCATCAAAACAAGAGGTCAAGGATACTTTTCCAGGTCTCCTTATTACTTAATGCTGACTGATAAAAAGGATCAACTTTTTACTATTTTAATTTTCACTTGGATATATTCTTTTTCTTCATTGTAGGTGGAAAACATGATGGAGTTTATGCATTGTTTGAGTTCTAGTTTTCTCATTTGTTTACCTCTTAAAATATTTGTGTCTATTGTTTCCAATAATATTGACACCTCTTAAAGTGATTATGGTTGTATTTTCCTTCTCAATCCTGTTACTTATTTATAAATATTTTTAGAGGGATAACACAAAATTAATCTTTCTTCTCAGAGCATGAGAGTAAGAGGATCTTAGTTTAGCACAAGAGAGGTCGCCAGTTCTTTAACCACCGTACTCTTCCTGCTCAGCTGGTTGTCCTGGATTTTCTTAGACTCCAGGATAAGGTTATGATCGAGATTAGAATGTACTGCCCTGAGGCTCAGACTGACAGTCGGAGCACTGGCAGGTTAGCGGTTGACCAGTAACAGGGAACACCTCCGGAGTAAATTCACCTTTCCACAGTGTCTCTGCTTGCCTCTTAATTTTACCTATTAATCAACACATAGTTATCCCATCTTTGTGTTCTTACTTTACTTGTAACTGGGGCCTGAAACTTTATAATTAGAGCTTTGAACAAAGCCTAAGAGACAGTCTTATATAGCAAGCTAGTTGACAAAGTGATTAAACTGAAGCTTAAGGGACTTCTGAAATTTTTTTCATTGTATTGGAAAGGGGAAGTGGGGGGAGGAGCTGAATGACCAATAGAGATCTTTCATCCACTGGTTCATTCTCCAGATGCCTGCAGTAGCTAGGGCTTGGAGCTCAGAATTCAGTCCAGGTTTTCCACGTGGGTGGCAGGCACCCAAGTACTTGAGCCATCACAGCTGCCTTCCAAGGTGCGTATTAGCACTGTGCAGGATGGGAGGCCAAGGAATTGAGACTTTTAAACCAGGTACTCCAGCATGGGATGTGGGTGCCCTAAGCCATGTCTTAACCCTGAGCCAAATGCCAAATGCCTGCTCCTTTTAAAATTTTAAAATTTTCATTTTATTTGAGAGAGAGAGAGAGAGAGGCAAACTTGACTGTTAGTTCTTTTAGTTCTGACTCTGCCACCAAGTAGCTGTGTGATTTGGGACGAAAGAGGTGTTAACCTTTCTAAGCTTTAGTTCCCCCTCTGTGAAATTAAAGCATTGAAATATAATAGCTGCCAAATTGTGCTGGGCACTTTACTTGTATTGAGTTCTCATAGTAACTTTATGAAAGATTGGCACTTTTATTTTTTACATTTTGCAGGTCAGGAAACTGAGGATTAAATTGTGAGTATTTGCTGAAATATTGACTGATACTATCTAGTAAGTGAAATAGCTGGAACTTCACCTACAGAGCCTATGCTTTTCCAAGTCTAAAATTCTGGACATCTAAGAATGTCACAGATATACCGAACAGCAGTGTAGTCTTGTATAAATGATTTATTTCCAGAGTAGAAAAGAATGAAAAGAATGAGTCTCATTCTGAGATTGATCCAGAATACACAAAATCCTGCTACCTTATTCTGTTTCCCTCATTTTGTATTTCATTTGCAAAGATTTAGTAAGTCAGAATGTTTATTTACTCAGTTATCTCCCAGCATCTTTCATTACCTTTCTCTTCATTTAAAAACAATCCTTAGTGAGTTACCTAATACAGAACCTAAAGTAATACATTTTACTTTC